TCCACTGTATATCCATCCTTTACTACAATGAGTGCACATAGTTCTCCTCTTTCTTCTCCCCACAAGAATCCTGTGAGGTGGGTCAAATAGTTATTGCTAGTTACATGTATATCCACTCTTTCATCCCAGGAGTACATGTGACTTTCCTCTTCCTTCTGCCCACATCAGTCTTGTGAGGCTGTTCAAGCAGAAAGAAAAAGACATGGCTGAGATGATAGTAGTAGTAGTAGCAAAATTTATTTGTATCCCACTTATTGCCAGACAATCCAAGCGGCTTAGTTTGGTCCAGTGAGTTTCTTGGCACAGCGAGGACTAGAACTTCGATCTCCCAAGTCCCAATCTAAAACCCTAACCATTGTACCACAGTGTCTCTGTCACTGGGAATTCTAACTGAACCTCATTAAAATTCAGCCAGGCTTCTGCTACTTTTCTTGTGTTTATTTCATCCTCATACGAGCTCAGTAGCAGAACTATGGGGAAATCATGGCATGAATGAAGACGACTCAGAGGACCATATCTGAAATACCTGATTGTGCTGGGAAATCACACATTGTTCTTTACAATGTTTTGGAAGCTATTTACTACCTCTGCTGGAGCTATCTCTAGGGCCAGCCATTCTCTTGTGCTTTCTATATTCCAACTTAAAGGATAAGATTGGGCTACCCGAGGATCAGATGACCTCTCCTTGATGTCAACATGCAGGAGAAGAATTCTTCATTATCATTCTTTGAGAAAATGGACATGAGCCAGTCATTGACAGTGAGTATTGGTAGACATCAGCTTTGTGGGAACATTTTGCAGGCTAGGACGTAGGATAAAAAATGATAGCAACACTCACATTTTAGGTGGATGATGCCTTTCTCATCAATGAGGGAGTGAGACTTGGACTCTCCTGAGTTTAGTCTGAATTTTAAAGGAGCTGTTCAAGGTGCAGAATTTATTTCTGGGGTAGCATCTTAGACCAGTCCTTTAAAGCTGGAGTGAGCTGCCACTGTTTTAGAAAATAAGAAGGCTTCAACAATCATGACTCAATGAGAGCAGCAGCAGAAATAAATGGGATGGAAGATTGTGGGGATTGTACATAAGTCATAGACACCCAGAGTGCAACCAAATCCTGACTTCATTCATTACCATTTTATAGACTGATGCACCTGAATTGTTCTCACATTCAGTTGGAGCGGGTAAACCAAAAATGGACCTTTGGTAATTTGTTTTATTGTCTGTACCCCATGCATCAGAGGAGGTAGGCTCAAGTTTATGAATGATTATGCTACCAACTTTTCTCTTTCAGTTAGTCACAAAGGTTCTACAAGATCCTTTTGGATATTGTTTTATTGCAACACCCCAAACCAGCAGAAACTGGTACTCATGTTTGTTCTCTCTCCACAAGCCAAAAAATGAAACAATGGTTTGCTTTTGGTTTGTTTGGCTTTGGAAAGAAACAAGCCAGGACCACTGGCTACACTCAGATTTTGATGTTATGTTGTGGAAACTACAGAACAAAGAGCTGTTGGAATGGGGAATGATTGGCTAGCATGTGCTGGTACATGGGCTTGTTAATTATAAGCTTGAATTGTTGAGAGTTCTGGCTTGTTATGATATCTAAGAGTGTAGTGTAATAGTTTAACTGTTGGACTACGACTCCAGCAGACCAGGGTTCAAATCCCTGCTCAGCCCTGGAAACCCATGAACTGACCATGGCCAAGATACATCCTCTCTGCCTCAGAGGAAGGCAATGGCAAACCTCCCGTGAATAAATCTTGCCAAGAAAATCCTATGGAAATTCAGTTAGAAGGCACATAATGTCAGTGATATCGGAACAAGTCCCATTATGGGAAGGATGACTAGAAAGATGGCTTAGATGAATCTTTCCCAAATCCTTAGATTTTTTTTTAATATAAAAAAAATTCCTTGTCTGTGATATCTGAAGACCTTGTGTAGGATCTGCTCTGTTGTCCATAGCAAGTGATATTTGCGGAACTGTAAAAGCCGAAACTATAGAAAAGTGCTAGAAATGTTTGCTGAAAAAGCATTTTATTGTTCAACATCATCAAAGCAGCTTAATGGAATTGTAAGAGGCCCCATCAGTTCCCTTGTTAGGGCAAGGTGAACACTGTGCATGTGTGTTTGTGTCCACATTCACTGCTTCTGTACTGCAAAGGGAGATAAATCCTTTGAGGTTGAGGAGTACCAAGGCTCCACCAAGGTCAACCAACTGGTTTCCATGGCTGGGTGGGGATTCGAACGTTGGACTCCCAAAGTCACACTCCAGCACACGAATCATTACGCCATATTGGCTCTTATGCTGATATGTGACTATCCTTGAATAGCTTGGTCAGAGTTATCCATTCCCTGGTAACTTCCAGTTTAGACTATTACAATGTGTTACATGTGTGGCTGCTTTTGAAAAGAGCCTAGCGATAGCAGTCAGTTGAAAAGAAAGTGGCAAGAACATTAACTGAGCATTTTGAATATATTACATCAGTGTTTATAATAGCTGTGTGGGCTCCCATCCTGTTAGCAGACCCAACTTAAATCCCTAGTTTTAATCTAGTAAAGTCCTTAAGCGTATGGAACAAGAGTTTATGAAAGATTGCTTCTTCCACATGTATCTACCGGAGTTCCAAGTACCAAATTCCTCTAATGCCCTGCTCCATGTATCTCTGCCAGGTGAGGGAAGGAGATGGTTACATAGGAGAGAACCTTTTTGGTGGTGGCATCCTGTCTGTGAAATGCCTTCCCCATTGAGGCTCAGCTAGTGCTGTTTTTATGGTACATTTCAAACCAGGCAGTCCATGGGACTGACTCAGGCTTTTAAAACCAAAACTGTGTTTTAAATATATGAACTGGATTCTATATTGCAGCCTACACTATGTAACTTTACATATACTTGGCTATGTAAGAGAGGCACTATGGAACCCTCCTAGTGAATTGTGAACATGCATATCAGGGTACCAGCAAGAATGCTCACCAAAGGACACTGGCACTCCCTAACTATTGTCCAGATGGGCATTAGGAGTGTGTGATGTCCATTGGTGTCTGTTGGGTATTGTCCCCGATGTGAAGCAATAACCTTTCTGGCTGTCCTACATAGTGATATTATGGCAGCAGAATACGGATGTGGTAAAACTACTCAATTCTATTTTCTGCAAATTCAAGTCCACTAATGTAAATGTAAGTCCTATGCTGAATTACAGCTGTTATCTGGAACTCTCAATGTTTTAAATGAGGATTTAATAAGAGGTGTCCATTGTTCTGTCTGTCCTCCCTAGAAGGGATGTTTTATGCTGTATTTTATACTGCACTTTAATTGCCTTTTGTTTTTAATTGTCTTTTTAATAGCATGTTTGTTTTACTTTTTATTTTGTATATTACATGCCTAGGCAGCCATATAAATGTGGTAAGTAAATATTGATCTAATCTGCTTTTTGTCCACAACAGTGTAGTTTTTGACAGATTAAATCTCTCTCTTCTGTTTTCAAGCTCATTCAGGGAAACTCTTCTCTAAAGAGAGAAATGAGGAATGGTACCACAGTGACAGAATTTATCCTAATGGGACTTTCTGATCTGCCAGCTGTTCGGTTTTCCTTGTTTGCAGCTTTTTTACTCATCTACCTGGTCACTCTGTTGGGAAATGGCACCATTCTTCTTGCCATAGGAGTGGACACTCACTTGCATAACCCCATGTATTTCTTCCTCAGTAACCTTTCCTTGCTAGACATCTTCTGCCCTACAGCAACTGTGCCCAAGATGCTGGAGAACCTCTTGTCAGAGAGCAGCAGCATTTCCTTTGCTGGTTGTGTGCTGCAACTCTATTTCCTAGTAGCCCTGGCAGGAACGGAGGTCTTCCTCTTGGCCGTCATGGCCTACGACCGTTATGTGGCCGTCTGCAACCCCTTGCGATACACAGTCATTATGAACAAGAGGCTCTGCCTTCAGATGGCTGCTGGCACCTGGATCGCTGGGTTCCTCAACTCCTTGCTACACACAGTGATGACTTTTACTCTTCCTTACTGTAAGTCCAATAGAGTCAATCAGTACTATTGTGACATCCCACCAGTGATGGCCTTATCATGTGCTTCCACTGATGTGGCCGAGATGATTGTCCTTATAGTTGGTGGCATTTTTGGCGTGGGAGCTTTTTTGGTGACACTGGTCTCCTATGTTCGTATCATCTCCACCATCCTTAGGATCCATTCTGTTGAGGGAAAACGCAAGGCTTTTTCCACATGTACCTCTCATCTTATGGTGGTGTGCCTTTTCTATGGGACCACCATCTTCACTTACATAAGGCCCTCTTCCAGTCACCATCCAGACCAGGACCGGCTGGTGAGCATGCTGTATGGTGTGATCACTCCCATGTTGAATCCCTTGATCTACAGCCTTAGAAACAAAGAAGTGAAAGGGGCCTTGAAGTGGATGATGTTTCATAAGCGGTAGTAACCCTAGAAGAGTTACTGTTGTATTTTAATCTTTTAAAGACTGATGTGCTTTAATACTGTACTAGTTTAATTCTGTTGTAATGGTCACTTTTGTATGTTTTTAATTGTATTGCTATTTTAATTTGTAAGCTGCTTTGTGTCCCAATTTTGGAAAAAAGTGGGATATAAACAACACCACCAGAATTATTCCATTCTGTTTCAGCACAAAACAATCCATATCTTGAATTGTGAGAAAAGAGAAAGTTACAACTTGTAGAAAGTATGAGTATGCAAAGGATCTTGTAGCATCTTGGAGACAAAGAAGATTATCACATTATGTTATAAACTGGCTTACCTGACCCAGGTTAAAATTAGAAGTGGGCAGCATCCTGATAGTATCAGATGCATTTAGCTGCCAAAATTGCTGCCTGGATGCAGCCCGGCTCCATCGCTGCTCAGAGGGGTGCCCCGGTAGCCATTTTTTCAAGCCAGAAAACTCCTGGCTTTGAGGAAAGGAGCAAGGAGCGCCCCTTGGAGCAGCGATGGAGCCGGGCTGCATCCAGGCAGTGATTTTGGCAGCTAAATGCATCTGATACTATCAGGATGCTGCCAGCTTCTAATTTTAAGCCGGCTCAGGTAAGCCAGTTTATAACGTAATGTGATAGTCTCCTAACTGTGTGAAAGACGTTTTGCATACATCTGAGGACATAGACCAACAGACAGGCACATTAAAGCAATTTCCAACTGATTTGAAGGCAGGGCGTTTAGACGACAAATGCCTCCAAAGCGGGCAGAAACCAGACCAAAGCTGTGCTCTGGGGCTAAAAACCAGAGTAAACAGAACCCGGGATAGTTCAGCTTAGTGTGGAAGATGCACATCTTTGTTGCTGGATATAAACACCCCAACGCCAGTGTGAGGCTGTGGTAAAGCAAAGAAATAAAAGTGCAA